GTGGTAGGGGGACCCAGGCGAAGCCAAGCGAGGCGTCGAGGAAAATTCGGAAATACGACCCCCCCCCTCTCTGCCGAAGGCCGAAGTCCATGAAACAACCCTCTTTAAAAGCCGAACTATGAAAAAGTTGTTTAATTCTCCACCAAAACTGCTCATAAAAAAGCCCTGCTACCCCATCGTCCACAAAAAAAACTCGTTTAAAAAGTATAAAAGTGAAAAAGTCAAAGAATGATCATTAATGACGAGTCCTGTCAAACGAGCAAACGAGAAACGGAGCAAAAAACGTTCGAATTCTATGTCACGAGAGAATGGCGTGGAGGGCGTACATAGGAGCGAACATCCCTTTCGTTGTTTATTCGCCCAGGATCTCCAATTCTAGTACTACACAGATTATGGTTCTCAATTTACACGTCCCCCTTTCGCTCAAAGGAAGCCTTGTAAAAGCCTTCGCCAGCTGTGTGTTGACTGGACTTTGGCGTTGACCGTGGAGCAGCTTATTTACTATTGAAATTTGAACAAATATTCAAATGATTATAACTTTCTTCAAAGTTAACGAATTTTCAATCTGAAAGCTGATTTGGAGTTTTGTGAAGAGCTTTTTCTAATCAGTACTGAAATTACAGGAAGTTATAAGAAATAACAAATTTAGATCAAATAACGAGGAAAATTCGAGACGAGCACGAGTTTTTACACTTTCCGGAGCAATAACTTGCTTCATTTCCGTCAAATTCAAAAAGTTGATACGTCATACAAAACTAGAAGATTTTCTCTATCAAACGGTCGCTAAAGCAGCTTCATACGTCCAGTACTCAAAAAATGGCCACGTTGAGGATTTTTGCAAAATTAACGAGGAAAATTCGTGATGAGTGCGAGTTTTTACGCTTTCCAAAGCCATAACTCCGTTCAAACTCATGCAATCTGGAAAGTTAATACGTCATCATAAACTAGAAGATTTGCTCTTTCTAAGGCAACTAAAACTGCTAAATACGTTCACTATTTAAAAAATGGCCACGTTGAGGATTTTTGCCCGAGTACCGCCGAAAGGTACTTTTTCGCTACATTAGCACTATCCCAACGACTATAGCTCCTTGCAGGAGCGATTACATACTGAAGTAGGAGCAGATTCAAAATCCTCGTGCTTTTCTCTCTGCAAAAAGTGTAAAATGTTTAGCGGGTCTCAACTTTAAAGGTTACATGCTTGTGAATTTGACGCTGAAGGCTGCGTTTCTTGTTGAATAGTGTACTCCTCTCTGTAATTTAACATGAACTCTTTCAGAACCCTCTTGATTCTTCCTGAATTAAGATTCGTTATCAAGATAGCCGTAGCTGAAGCGCGCGCAACCAACTGGGCCCACTCTGGGATGCGCCGTGTGCTTCACATCTCGTTGGATTTGAGGACCTACTTGAAAGATAAAATATCCCTAGAAAACGTGCGAATTTCGGATCCTTTGACTTGTGTGGTGATGAAACACTAAAGTCACTAAGAATTGCTAAGCGGACACCTCTAAATCACGAAGATTTTGTGTGGACGGAATCAATTGTTATTGGAAATACTCTGGCCTGGTATCGATTCGATCCTTAATGTTTGTCCTCCGACGATGATCCTACTGTATCAATCGGGCCCGATCTCTCCCCAGCGGGCCAATACGACCCCCCCCCTCTGTGACATGTCGAGGATTCCTCAACGCACGCTTGACCCTGGGTACAGCCTCCCTCACCCGTCTTCTGCGGCCGAGCGTTTCTCCCTGTTGACGCTTCTCGCGCCAGAAACATACTCGCTCCCTCCCGAGTCAGTCGTGTCACACCCTTTAAACATGATTGAATAAGTCCTGCATAACAGCACCAACCTCTTTACAAACAGCAGCAGCGTGATTTCCGTTCACGAACGATTCTTCAAAAATCCATTGACGTTGGAGTTTGCCATCCATTAGCACAGTAGTTGAAGTCACAAAGCAGCCTGATATTGTCTTATTGAAGAAGATTCGTGTTGTATGAGAATAGTGGTGTGAGGACGTGGACTCAACATGCGACTTCTCGCCACCGTCAAGATGTTGTTATGAGTGGACGCGAAATTTGCAGGAAAAAGCTTTGCCATTAATATACTATTGGAAATGATCAATGATGATAATGAATTGGTCGGTAGGATAAAATATAGAATATCACTGCACACAACTTTGGCTCAAGTTTCATGGAAATTGCGCAATCTAGTCAGTAAATGTACTCATTCTTCCGACCTCTCAAACGAGCTGCATAGCTGTGATAGGAAAAAGGTTCGAGGAACGAAGACGATATGTGCCCAAATTTTGTAGTCATATATTGATCGGTAGATCAAAAATTAACTAGGAAAGATCAACGAGGTGATCCTTTCATTTGCAGTGAAGGTGACTTCCAACTTCCTTTTATTTTTCTCGGGGAGCTAAGCTCAAATCTGCTTTCCGAATTTGCCGAGCAGTTTGCAGTGCAGGAGTGGTTTTCCGTAGGCTAATTTATTTTAATTTTATTTTATTTTTCCATGCGCCATTCGTAGGGTAACACTGCGTTTATTTAAAAATGAATAACTTTGAAGTTTTTCAAAAAAAGTGAAATTTCGCCCGGACTCGGATCCCTGCGCCTGTAGCAGACCGCCTGACAGTCAGTATAACCTTCCTTCAAGGAAATTCAGCTTCGAGTTGTCTTGTTGAACCCAGGCTTTCGCACAATATAACGAATGCCTTACCTGGTCTGTATCTGTCATTCATGTCGACTTGGAAATTGATCCTACTGAGATCGTCGAGTATGCCGTCTCCGGTTGCCTTTAGGATGGCCTCTTTGAGACACTGAAACCAGATAAAGATTCATTAACTGCCTTGAGATTTAAAAAACGAGTAAAAAGTGAATTCGATTGCTCTTTTTGTTGCTATGACAGAATTGCTTTACTTCTCCCTAGGGGGAATTCATGTTCAACTTGTTCCTTTAGAATACGGCTTTTCAAATTTTGAATACATTTGATTTTGTTCAAATGCGTAGCCAAGTGACCTTCTAACTCGTTAAAACTAACTAAGCTCTGTCTAATAGCTCGAGCTCTAATTACATACCCAGTAACGATAGAACATTGTCATTTTCATCGCCTCTGTCGGTTGGCTTCGCATCATTCGCAGCTCATCAGGTGAAGCGGACTTTGCCATCGAGTTGATATATTCATCAGCTGTTTTTCCGGCTCCTGAAATGTAGTTTTTCAGAAAATGTTCTAGAGAAATTTAGCGACTTCATACGTTCTTTGTCTAGCCGCATAAGGTCTACGCCTACTCTTGAAGTGCAGCTGCTCGCGAAACCAACGAAGTCGCCCTTAATGAAACTTTATTGCACAAGCTGCAATGCATAAGCCATAAGCACAGTATAAACATAAACAGTGGAACCTGATGCGTGATGTTCAAACCGAAATTCGTGTCCGCAGGATTCGTAAGAAACGGTTTGCCCTTTTCCGTCCTAGCGAATTGTATTTCATTCCATGGCACTCCAGTGAACTAAACATGATGCTGATTAGTTCAGCGTTAAGTACTCAAACATAATTGGAAAGGATTGAAGTTAAGTGACAAATTAGCCAACTTCTAAGAAGGTCAAATTCCGGTTGTAAAACTAGTAAAAAGGTATTACCACGTGAGTAGCATGCCTCAGCAGCAGTCGCCCAATAATGCACTGGAGAACGTCTTCCCTTAAAATATTAATTCACAAATGAAGTCCATCAAGCTCCTCCTTTCACTTTTTTAGGAGTACCCGACAGGAGGCCCGTCGCGCGGC